TTAATTATTAGCTTTGTGAATAATAGGATACACCAACAGATCTCTGGCTGTGGAGCGAAGGAAGCGTGATTCTTATGCTTATGGCACTGTTTTTTTAAAAGGAATAATGCAAGAGACACCAAGACTTTTTTCAATCACTTGCACAGTAATAAGTAAGTTACTAATTTTTTAAAAATATTTTTTACTTAAAAATATATTAAAATAATATTTTTTTAGTATTTTAATTTTTTATATCAACACATTAAAATTATCCAAAACCATTAAAAAATAATTTAAAATAAAAAAATAAAAAGTTTTCAAAAACACTTTTTAAATTCAAAAACTGAACCTCTTTTTTCAGACTGTTTTTTGTCCATTTCTCCTCAATTTTGGTGTCAAAAACCTCCTGCCTCCGTAAATTTGAATTTTGCTTTCATTTACAATTATTATGAATGCTAAATTTGAGAGTTGGTGAAGTTATGCCAGTGGCAGACCGGTGAGTGACGCATTATAACACTGTTTTTTTGGCCACTACCTTGATGGCCTCTTTTTTAATTAATTTATTGATTTAAAAAATATAAAATTATAAGGAAAAAAGTAAACGACACGCAAGTTTGTGTACTTTAATGTTGATGTACGTACGTAATAGCTTGCTCCAATTAACAAATTCCTTCTAGATTATTTTGTTCTTATTGTGTAATGGAAAAATGTTACAATCATTAACTTGTAAACTCAAATCCAATAAACCTCTTGATGAACAAAATTAAGAAATCAGAAACCTCATGACTTTTCAGTTTTGAGTTTTCCCAAATACCATACGAGAAAGTAACTTCAAACCAGAACTTTATTTGAGCCAAAACAACAGTACTGAAAATTAACAGTTGCGATACCAATTGCACAAAGAATTGGAAATTGAACCCAGCTAGTTGCACTGTGATTAAACATGCCCCACGCTCAACTACCCTTCTTCATTATTATAAACCTAAGTGGGAAGGAGGGTATATAGTCTTTTGGAAAGCCAATCATGCATGCCCAGCTAGCAAAACAAGTCAAAAATTACAGAAAAATAATGACTGTAGCATTATATTTAATCTTTCGTGCAGGATGACAACCAGAAAAAAGGCTAATGTTCAGGTGATACTTGATAGTCTTTATGCATTTTCTCACCAAAAATGATGTTACAGCTCATAGCAATCGAAATTGATTTTTTGATATTATAATATGAAGTATACAAAAATGGTATGTTAAGCTTTCAAACTAAAAGTAAAGAATACCTAATGTTGGGAATTCTTTGAACTCTTATGGAACTCAAGATACTTTTGGTAATCCAGATGATTTTTTTTTATTTTTTTTTAAATAATCAATTTTACCAAGTGATTGAATTGCTTTTGTTGGTTAATCCATTTTGTTAATTAATCATCTATTCATGCTCACATGAAAAAAATTAAAACTATGAATAATAAGTATTTTAAAGAATAATATAAATTATATTTTAAGACCTAACTGTTTAAATTATTAAGTTAAGATAGTTTTTTGATATAGTGTCATAGCTTTAATTATCAAATAATTATGTATTTAAATTTCATCATTTTTATTTATTTTACACATTTAAATTTTATTATTTCTATTTATTTGATAAAAATTAAATATAAAGTAATATGGGTTTGTATAAGTTTTAAATTTAAAGAATTTTTAATCGAAAAAATGTATTAAAAAAATACAAATTTTATTTTTAAATTTTATATAATAATTTAAAATATTAGATTGAAATAATTTTTTGAAAAGATATAATATATGACAGCAGTAATTGCAGAACAGCAGCAGTTACGAAAAGGAAAATAAAGTTGGAGCTGCATTCTTTTTTTCTTTTTCTCCTTTTTCAGTTACAAGGTAAGAGATAGCTGGCCTTTAGGGAAGGGGCAGTGGCGATTTGATGTTTCCCCCTTTTCAGCTGCTATCAGACTATGATGAAAATGATGTATCCTCAAATAAGTGTGAAGATGATGCTCCCTCTTAGAGTATATATCTCCTTCGATCTTGTGCCAAATATTAAATGATATAAACATTATTGGAAGATTTTGAGATTGCTTACAAAATCAATCACATTCAGTACCAATTTCAATGTCATGAGTCAATATCTAGTTGCACCAAATTGGTTACATGCAGAGAATATACATTGCCAAGATGATGTTATATAGGATTAGCTCAATATCTACAAGACAACTCGTGAGAATTGAATTCTTGCACACAAAGCCAGAGCAGCGAAAGGAGGATAATGGTTCCTTCCAGATTTTCCGTTCTTTCAATACTTGTAGTTCTTGTGTTAACACCATCTCGGATGGGTTCACATCCAATTCAGGATCAGGATAGGTTTCTACAGTGTCTCACAAGAAATTCTG